ATTCGGCTATATTATTTACAGTTCTTGCGGCATTTGAGCATGCGTAACGTCTACCAGAATGCATCTCGTACTCACTAATTCATATCATTAACTCTGCTTTTATTTACGTTGCATTTTGTCGGCTCTGCTAATGTTGACACCAATCGATCATCAGATCACGCCGTCTCCGCCTCAACCGTCTATCTAATCCGCTCCCTAGGAACAGTTTGGGGTGTAGCAATCACATCAGCTATCACCCAGAACACACTTAAAAAAGGGCTTCCAGAAGCCTTGATTGGAATACCAGATAAATGGAAAGTAAAACCATTTCCTTTAGTGCTTCTTTTCTTTACCATGCCCTTCCCTCTCCTCCACCTTCTCCAACCTCAACACCCCTTCCCCGATAAGATTCATTTCAAACGAACAAATACTCTATAAACGCACCCCGGCTAACCAAACCTGCCCTTAATTTCTCTGCCTCCTCTTGGGAAAAATTTCTAGATCATCGAAGAAATCAGACACTCCGTTCTGGCAATCAACAAATTACCCCTGGACGCCCAATTGGCCGCGCGCCATGTCTACCACCACGGCATAAACCTCTCATTTGCTGTTTCTGCTGGATTTGGCTTTATCGCGACTGTGTCTGCTCTCTTTGCGAGCGGAAAGGGATTGTCGCGACGCACCAGCAGTGATACGAGGATGACGGCTTCTCATTCTCAAGAAAGGGGAGGGGGAGAAAATATCGTGGAGGGGATGTCGCGATGAGATCCCATGAGTTTGGTTGGATACTCTCACTGTATCGGGCACATAGAGAGGAGAGGTAAGTGATAGACTTTATTTTTAGATGAAATTTTCACTTTCTAGAATATTGTGTTGTACCGCGTTGTTGAATGGGAGGAAAATTGGGAATGGAAGGTTACTCTGGAGCATGCAGTCGTGGGTTGATGGCAATAGAGCAAGTTTTAATGTACTGTTAGGTGTGAGGTGAGGTTCCAATGATAGACAGACGATAGATATGGATTAGATCTCCAGGATGGCACACTTTCCTGAAATCGTACTGTACGTACATGTACTTGGGGGTTATTTCCCGGCTGTTATTAACTCGCCTGTCGGGTTTTCCGGAAAATAAAAAACTTAATATGATTGAAGATAGCGACACTTCGAGAGCAACAAAAGTGAACATTTATCATTATATTCTTACACTCACGGAAGAAGATATATACAACTTAATATATACAAACTTATATTATGTACCTACGAATAGGAAATGAAAACGATAAAAGTGCCCCCCTTCTCTATTTCAACAGCGAGTAAAGAAAATGCGTGGAATTAAAGTAGATAGATTTTAACAAAATAGGAGGTAAAAAAAAATACATCATTTGCATAGCAGGGAAGGGAATAAATTGAGGTTGTAGCATTCCTGGAAATGAATGCTCCTCGCCCAAATGAGGGCGGTGTCACTGAAAACGAGAATTGAAAGATATTGGGATAGAAAAAGAATATATTCGAAAATGGTGCAGGGATAAATAAGAATCAACGTTCAAGGAATACTTGAGCAGAGCTGTTATGGAAACCCGTGCGTGAATAGGGAATAAAAAAGGTAAAAAGAGGGAATGGTTCTGGATCTTTAAAAGTGAAGTCTAAAAGAAAAAGTATATTGTTGCTTGGCTATATAGAATCTATCTGCATGGAAGCAGATGAAGGAGAAAAAGTACAGGTATTATGAGGTCATATAGTTGGTTGACTGAGAATAACAAACAGAAAAAAAGAAGGAAAAAAACAAGAAGATTTACGTATAGGTGTTGGAACAAAAAGGATAATAAGAGGAAACGCAAAGCAAGGTGTCGATAGGACGAAGGATAGCTTGGGAGAATGGGAACATAGAAGGTTGTAATACAAGGCACAAAAATAAACGCCCCAAATTGCAATGAATATCGTGGCTCATGCAACGGAAAGCAAGAGAAAAGGAATAAAAAAGGCAATAATAATGGGCAAAAGTTTCCAGGAACCAAGAAAGAAACATGCGCTAAATCTGGTTGGTATGGCCTCCCTAAATATCGAAACGGCATAAATCCACCGAGGCACGATATTTATTGATTTTTATGTCTAATAGTCATAGGGTTCGTATATGGATTGATGTGGCGGATAGCCAGATACATTCGTTTGCGATTGCGACCAGTTAGTACCCATAAGTTTCAGACGGCGTTCTAAACGAACGAGGGCGAAAATGTCAGTTATCAGCGGATTTCATACAGTGTTGCAATTTGCTAGATAAAAAAAAAAGGGGGGGCGAAGGTGAGGGAGGAAACATACCCCTCTCGAAATCACCCCATCGCTTCATAGTAATCTTACTGCTGTCAAATTCTCCCTCGTACTCGATTCCGGCTTTCTTCGTTTTCTCCCCTGCCGTCTTACGAGTGTCACCCCAGCTAAAGTCGTCAAATTTCCAATAGGAATAGGTGGGCAGCACAAAGTTCCATATCGGCAGCGAGAGCAGGTAGATAAACATCCACATAACGTATGAGAGGCGGTGGGCGGTCACAACGATTAGGATCGCAGGCAGGCCGAGAATAAGTGCCAGAAGGACGAGAGGGATGACTTGGACAGGCTTTCTGATAATGGAGATGACAATGACATAGAACGTGAAAGAGATCGCAGCAGGGAGGACCAGAGTTCCTACTAGTTCCATGAATACCACGAACTGCATGCTAAAACAAAAGGTCCCGCAGAGATCTCGAACAAGAACAAGTTCCATAAGGTTATGCACGGTACTGTTGATCCACCTGCGGCGCTGGGATAGGAGAACACTGAATTTTTCTGGGACGGTAGTTTTGCAGACTGCTTGGGGTACGAAAACTTGTTTTCGTTTTGGGAAGGTCTTTAACATAAGCGTCGACAGGTATCGGTCCTCACCGAGCAAGAGAAGGTTCTTCTTATGAAGGGTGTCAACGACATTCTCTGAGTAATGCTCAACCACGTCTGGATTTGCAAGAATTGGCACCCAGTAGTTCTGTCCTCCCTTGGGAGCTTTGATTCGATACATGCAGAAGCAACCTGGCAAGCAAGTGACACCACCGAAAACTGATTCAAACGATTTGGAAAGATGATGGGAAATGAAATACTCGAACACTTGTATCATCGTAACCCAACTCTCTTTTTTATTGGCGATCTTCGTCTCCCCGCAGAGACCCATGATTTCTGGGTCCTTGACCATAGCAGAAACCATGTGCGTCAAGCTGTCGGGGAATACCTTGGTATCTGCATCAACCATCAGAACAACCTCATAGAAATCGGGTGATATGCCCGTAATCTTCCATAATCCATTGAACATCTCGAATTCGAGCTCCGTCATTCGCTCATCGAACATGACCTTTTGAAGAAAAGACATCAAAATAATTTGGCTGTCACGTTTGCCTCGGTTACCCGGTTTACTATTCTGCATCTCATCCGGTGTTCCGCATTTCACGACGACCATCATTGGCACGCGCTGTTGTTTGTCGAGAGGTACAACTGATTGTTCTCCGTAATCATAAAATCCAGTATATATCTTGGCCATATTGTGCCTCTTTGCTCCGCTGGCAACAGCAACATACGAGAAGGCCTGGACGTCCTCGGGAAGGACAGTAAAGTCCTTCATCAGGCTAAGAGTAATGTCGGGGGTAGTGACAGTTTCGCCCGCTCCTTTGATCAAGCCGTCGCAAATGACAACAATCGTCTTGTGGCTATTGGGGTAATCGGTCATGGCGATAGAATCTAGAGTTGTGCGCAGACCCTCCGCTCCTTCAGAATAAGCTGTCACTAGACAAATTGCGTGGGCCAAAGGATACCCGAAGGGTTGCCATTCTGGTGGAGGTTGAGGAACCACCGATTCGTTAACAAATCCTGACATGCCCGGCGTTTCAACATCACTAACAGACATGGAGAATGGTCGATCGTGTACACCAAGCATAAGACTGGTGCGACTACCAACGAGACTATGCCTATAAGGATCGACGCTTAAAGTCCCTTGACTGGGGTTTTGGCCAGTCTTGTACATCGGGTTCGCAAGATTCGCATTCTGACTCACCATGGTGGTGGGTGGCGCGCGCTGTTTTGACGCTCCACGATCCATCGCATAAGGGCTAGTGAACCTAGACGTTGTTGGGAAAATAGCGCTGCTGATTTTGCTCCCGCGTCTACTGCCGCGGTCAGGTAAAGCAGGATCTGTTAAACGTGGACCAGGCTGATAAATGTCGTCGGACCAATCTTCGATTTGCTTTTTCCGCATTGTTGAACTAGGGTTTATCGTCGTCTTCGCAGCGAAACGGCTCGCCAAAAACCACTGAAATGTCAAAGCAAGAACAAATTTCGCCCCAACAACGGATAGAATAAACGCCAACGAGACATAGAGAACCACCTTAGAGGCGATGCAACCGACAGATTCCGTATCAATAGCTCCAACTTTGATGATTTCGGTCAAACATTTAGCCAGTCGTTTGTCAGCGGAAGACTGGAACAAATGCGTCACGTCGGCACCCTTAATCGCCGGATTTGCCTTGAGTTCGTCGAACTGTCGGGGAACGGTAACTTGGCTTCTGTCGAACCAATCTAGGAGATTCAAATCAAGAACGTTACCTGAGTATACGATCAGGTTTCGAGACTTGTTCTTCAAATCATCCCACTTGAAATATACCACTCCAGGCGCTGCTAAGCGGTGATAGAAAGTATTTCTCGCTTTCTCAGTCATATGACATGCATAACCTAAATACGGTGGTTCGGTAAAATTGGGTTGAGAGGAGCCATCCTGCTTGAAGGGAACGCATGGAAAGTACCAAGCCAGTTCTCCATTGCTGTTCGTTGGCACATTTGAGTTTGGGGCCGCAGTGATAAGACCTTTACATGCGCCATTTACATTTTGGAACAAAAAGCTGGCGTCCATACCACCGTATGAAACAGGAGGATAAGCGACGTTCGATCTATCGGGAATACCCAACGCTTCCGGATGATGAGTGCCTTCCATACTATATGCTTTCCCATGGAAGATAATATATCCCACATCGACCTGGTTTATTTTAAGACGTACACCCGGGCTGCCACAAACAACCTGAGTAAAACCGAAGGTGAGAAATCCAACGAAGGTGCAAATAAGGAGAATGATGCTGATAAGGCCCATTTTCTCGCGCCAAGCTCGTCTTTGAGCCTTCGCGGGCATTCCGAAGCATTTGAGGAGGAAATCAGGACACCAAAAGGTCACCATGCCGCAATATACGTTCCACAAGCTTGGGGGATTGATAGCATCTAATGCTTCCTGGCGCCTCTTTTCTGCCTCCTTGGCGGCTCTGGATTCCTTCCGCGACAGTTTCCTATGTGTATGTTTTCCCACGTCCCGCTGTGATGGATGACGACCCCGTAATTTTCTCGAACGGTCCCCGTCCTCGTGATAGTCGGCACCAGGGTTATTCCCGTCGCGTCTAGTTAGACTCTTGATATCCGTACTTCCTGAGCTCATTGTGTCGGCCTCCCCATTCTCATGTACTGGCTCATTGCCTGTTGTTGAGGGATACGTAGCCATATTTTGCGCATGTTGGCGATAGTGG